ATATATATATATATATTACATTATATTTGACTGCTTCCTTGAAGCTGCATTTACAGCTGTAGATGTTTAAGGTTGAGATCATTTGAACTTTACTTTGAGGCTGTATAATATGGTAAAAGCATCATATTGACATTGTTTTGACACCATTAGTGCGGGAATGAACTTATTTTGCACCGCAAATTAAACTTTCACAGAAAAAACAGTTGCAATCTTGATGATTTTTGGTAATCTTTTGGGCTGTGTACCAAACAAACACGTGTGTAGGCCCTTCAGCACTACACCACTTCATTATTATTCTACCTTTTATTAAAACAATTGCAGCTCCTGCAATTTGCTTATTGCACTCGGCCATATTGCGATTCCAATAATATTTTTTTAATACTTTATACACTGTTGGGTTGTTGAGTCTACAGCAAGGCATCATATTCTATGATCATCATATATTCGTAGTGTGGCTGTCCTGGGAGAACTACATATCTCTAAAAAGTCTTTTCATGAGCTCAGTAAAAACAGTTGCATGGATTTTAAAGTTTATTTATGTTTTAAAGTAGGATAATGTTCTCAACCCTTCAGTTTATCACAAACATTCACAGTCAATACTTTTACAAATATGAGAATAATAAATAAATAAGAGCAAGTACCTTTAACGTTTGAGTAAAAGTATATAGTTACATTCCACCACTGTATGAAGTTTCATTCATTACGGTCAGTCATAACCACAAGTTTAGGTAGCGGGTTTCCTCCTGTTGTAGTAAAAAAAGGTTTGTTCCCCCCAAGTTACGCGTTCAAGTCCTGCAAGTTAAGACTGGGTTTGGTAACGCTGTGTTTCTCTCGCAGGATGAGTCATTTAAACCGGTGTCCGCCGATGCCAACTGGACTGCGCAGGGTGAAGACCTGCTGAGGAGGTCGAAACAACTGCTCGGTGTATCACTTCTGACCTCTGCTGGACTGCCACAACCAATGTCGGACATTTGGGTCAACGTGTTGTTTGATGACACTCCACAGAGGCAAACTCCATCGAGCCGGAAGAGGAAGAGAAACAGGGGGCCGCGCAAAAAGAATTTAGAGCAAAGCGGCTCACCGGAAGGTAAACACGAATACGACCACAGAATGGGTCGGACCAGATATGATGAAGCTCCACCGCGCCGCAACGGAGCGGTCGCAAACCAACCATCAGCTCCCGCTCACACACACAACAACAGTTTACCTCATTCAAGCAGCTCAGCCGGCACTTCACACCACAGCGCCAAGCCTTCGACGTCCAACCAGGGACCTGTGAACACCAGCGCCACCCACTGCCCCTCGGTGTCAAGCAGCCATAAACAGACGTCAGCAGGAAAACCCGCAAAGTACCTCGCCATCGACTGTGAGATGGTGGGTTCGGGACCAAAGGGGCACATCAGCCAGCTGGCACGCTGCAGCTTGGTGTCCTACGACGGAGACGTGGTTTACGACAAATTCATCAAACCCGCCATGCCTGTTACCGACTTCCGCACCCGATGGAGCGGCATACGGCGCTGTGACCTCGTCAATGCTGTCCCGCACTCTGACGCCCGGAAGGAGGTGAGGAGATGATTGAATAAGTGTGTTTTCTCTGTTACGTCGGTCTCCTCTCAAACAGAGAGTGATGTAACGTAACAGTGTCAGCTTTTGTTTGCGCTGGAACAATATTCTCAGGATGTGACTCTTCCTTCAGGAGCTTTCAGGGGTCGCTGGCAGGGCCACTGGTTGTGAGTGATTAAGCAGATGTGTCTAGGTCTGAAACTAACAATTGGTTTTTCTTCTCCAGCCGATATGATAACCGATAACTACCTGCTTCTCATGGCTGACACTGATAAGATAACCAATAATTTCACATTTCTGTATTTTAAAAAGTTCATAGTCTGTCATTTTACACACCCGATGGTAAGAAAGGCTAAGATGTGGTGAGCAAAAAGGATGATTTAATATTCCATAGCTCTGACCCAGTCAAGGTGATATAATGAAATTGCTGGTTTTGTCCAGCTTAGATGCCAAAATGCATATAGTCAGCAGAGAAATAGTACAAAAGAAAGTCAAAAAGCGTTTCCACATTCACATAATTGTTGTCCTTGCCCTCAGTGATTCCTGTCGCACTAAAAAAAACATCGCAAATCGTCCGATAAGACAGCAAAAGTTCTCAAAAACTGTTAATCGAAAATGTGAATCTGTTTGATGTGTTTTTCTTGGTGCTATTGGTTCTTTATCTGTGTCTTGTGGGACAAACTTGATCATGTTTTATTCAGAATTGTTCTCCACTGGTTAACAAGGCACACAGGGTTAGGCCTGTATGTATGAGGTATGCTGATATTTCAGCCTTTCAGTGTTCACTGCCAAAATATCATTATGAACTTATATATATGAATAAGCATGAGTGCAATGTCTTAAGTCCAAAATCCAAGTTTTGGGGAGAATTTGTATTGTTAATGTTGTAACAACTACAAACTGAAACCAACGTGGGACCAGTATCGATGTTTTTTGCCAGTCGACATGAAAAAGGTCTTAAATTGCATTCGTAATGGTCTTAAAAAGGTCTTAAGAAGTCTTAAATTTAACCTGTTGAAACCTGCAGAAACTGTGAATGCAAAGTAATGTGTATTTGTGTTTGAGTTCTTCATTTACAGGCTGATTTATCGCCTGAGTTTCTCTGATACTTCTATTAGCCCGAGCGCTAGATCGGTCGGCTGATATTATCAAACATATGGGTATTGTATCGATATATAATGCAGAAACAAAATGCTTGTGGATAATATTGTGGTGTCACTGTAAAGTTTCTCCAGCAGAGTGCGCTGTGAGTTATCATACTGTGGCAAGCAGCACAGAGTAACAGAGGGTGCAGCAGAATATTTAACTTAAATATCATTTAATAAAGTTATCTGTTTAAGGAAAGCATCGTTCTGAGTACCTGAGTAGCACAATCACATCGGTATAAAATCCACATAGAAGAGGTGTATTTTCATTCTAGCTCAAAATTCACTCACTATATCAGCCGTCATATCAGTTCCCCCCTAAAACTGGCGTTGATCTAAAAAATCCCATAATGCCCAGGCATTCAGGCATCAACAGTCTATTTACTATAAAAAAGAATTAAAACTGGGCTCATTAATACCGTCACATTGTGCTGGATGAGGTTCGTGTATGAAAAACAGACTACACCCGGTTAATTGTCAAGTTGCCCAGCACCTGGAGATCTGCTGCATGATGTTGGGTGAAAGTTCAGGTATGTGGTTGCTTCTGCTTGTAGGGGCATTTGCACTGCAGTACTCCTCCTACCTGGATGTCACGTTGAAGATGGCCTTGGTGAGTCTCTTCAGCGAGCGCACTCGGTCGCAGCGAAGCCGGCCTCTTGGTTGAGAGGAGGATTCGGAGCTGTCTCTGGTCAAGGCAGCGGGGTGAGAGTAGCCGAGGCCTTGAAGTCGTTGTGGATGGCGTGGCCAATCAACCACCTTCCCCATGAGCAGCCTCAAGATCTGCCAACAGAGGAGACACTCTCACTGAACTCAGTAGCTCACCACAGTATAAACTGCAAGTTCAAACTCTGAAATTAAATGACCCACAATGGAAGTGTACATGAATGTTTGCGTAGGGGTTACTGATGTTTTAAAAAACGTATAACTGGTATTAGTGACAGATGAGGCACAAATGGCGGCGGTGGCTCAGAGGCAGAGCGGGTGGTTGCCCCATCAGGAGTTGTTGGTCGATCCCCGGCTCCTCCTGCGCACGTGTCGAAGTATCCTTGAGCAAGATACTGAACCCCAAATTGCTCCTGATGCTAAGCATCGGTGTGTGAATGTGTATGAATGAGTTAGTTTCTGTTCGATGGACTTTCCATCCACTGAGTGAATGTGTGTGAAAGGGTGAATGTGGCACGTAGTGTAAAAGCGCCTTGAGTGGTCGGAAGACTAGAAAGGCGCTATACAAGTACAGTCCATTTACCATTTAACCAGATATTTAAAAGACAAAACG